GAGAGAGAGAGAGAGAGAGAGAGAGAGAGCACAAAGCTTTGGGGGCCCCATGTGGCCTCACAGTTATGAACTGCTTGCCTGAGTATCAAGAGGATGTGCTCCTTGTTCTTCCGTGTCTTCCTCCTGAATGTATAACCTCCCTTCATTTCGTAGACACAAGGAGAAAGACTTGTGCGTGTTTCAAGGTGCCAACCCTGTTCCGTCTTCCTCCCTCCCACTTCTTCCAGGTTCAGCTGAACGCCGGACAGCTGCAGTACATCCGCTTAGCTCAGCCCGTGTCCGGCACGCAGGTGGTCCAAGGCCAGATCCAGACGCTCACAGCCAATACTCAGCAGGTACCAAGTGATCTCCAGAGGGGGTTGGCCAACAGCGGTTCAGGTAGCCCAGACCAGTGGGAAAGGAGCTTATTGTGGGCGTGGGTAGCCTTCCCAGGCTTGAGAATCTGTCACTTGCCTTCTCGTTCCGATAAAGATAAAAATCCTGAGTCGTCGCTGTGACCCTCGTTGGTACTGGTAGTACGGAGAATGTCTGCATCAAGCCCAGTTTGCATGTGGCAGTTGCCATCCCAAGATGGGCTACTGAGCCCACCTTTTAACGTGTCCTTTTATCGGAGGAACTAATTAATTTTTTACACCTGACACCTACTTTCAGGAAATGCTGTAAACACTTAAAAGAAACGCTGCTCAAGATGCAATCTGCAGTTTTGCTGATGGACGGTGAAACTGGTCTGTGACTCCGTCTCAAAATCCAACCTGCTCAGCTCTGCCTGGTTCATTTTTCCTCTTTTTTACTCCTGTGTTTGTGGAGGTTCAGCTCCTCTTTTTCGTCCACCTGCCAGATTTTGGATTGGCACTCTTTGTGTTCGTTCAGGCGCCGTGTCTGATTTCCAGCACTTGGCAAGAATTATTTTTGTCAGTGCTAAACGCAACCTTTAAAAGCATCCGTCTCTTTTTGTGTATATTCTTAATTCTAGCAGTCCCTTCTTTTTAGACCTGGAAAGTACTTTTCTTGGCAACCTGGGCACCCCATTAATATATTTGTTTTACCAGATGTCATTCTTTCTCTTTTAATTTTCTCAGTCCATTTTTTTTAACACACACACACACCTACACACTCCCACCCATGTACAGTAGGAATTGTACACAGGAGAATTGGGTCCAGGAACCCCAGGCATGGTCTCTGGCTCCCTTTAGTGGCTAGTCCTGGTAAATAAACCCTTGAAATAACACACACACAAACACACACACACACACACACAAAATATGTGTACATACGTATTTCTGGAAAATCCAGGAAGAGGCCGCATAGTTCTTGAAACAATACAAATGCAGGAACAGGTGTTACCTTTATTCAGCCATTAGGAGAGAAAGAGAGTGTATAAACAGGCAGTGAGCTGCTCCACCCTCTTCTTCAAAGCTGTGTGTCAAGTTCTTTGTGGGTAGTTCCAACATTATGTGCTGTTACTGACGTCCCAAGTTCCCTTGGCGGATGGCGTAGAGGCCAAGTTCGCTTCTTGGGTGGAAACGACGGTAAAACGCAAGTTGGTATCAAGGTCCTCCTCAGCTAGCCGTTTGGAATTTATGGCTGATTTCTTGAAAGAAAAGTACGGTGAGGCAATTTGGATATTTCTGAGGGGTGTTTATTTAGTATTTTCAGGCCGTGGGTACGTGACTTTGTGGATACTGATCCCGCAGATAGGGGGTTTCCTCCTGCACAAACACACACACACACATGTACGTTTGTTTACAGTGAGGCAATTTGGATATTTCTGGGGGGTGTTTGTTTAATATTTTCAGGCCGCGGGTACGTGACTTTGTGGATACTGGTCCCGCAGATAGGGGGTTTCCTCCTGCACAGACATCTGCCTCTCTCTCTTTTCTTTTTAAATGGTTTCTCCTCTCGGAGATCAAGGGACAAGTCCTGGGTGTGTCCCAGCCTACGGATTTCTATCCATTCGCAGCTAAGAACTGTTTCAGTGAGTGGTCCTTGATCTTATCAGAACATGTGACCGTCCTGGGAAATCTCATCTTGGGACTCCCATCTTCCCATTCTCTCCCCTGTCCAAATTCTAAAGCCATAGACCGACCTTAGCAGTGCCTCAAAAGAAGGCGCACAGGCCACGCGTATCGAAAACTTTAGCACGCCTCCAGGACAGCCTGCTTGCAACTTTCCTACAGACATAACGGCGATAGGGGGTTTCCTCCTGCACATACATCTGCCTCTTTTTTTAAAAAAATGGTTTCTCCTCTCGGAGATCAAGGGACAAGTCCTGGGTGTGTCCCAGCCTATGGATTTCTATCCATTCGCAGCTAAGAACTGTTTCAGTGAGTGGTCCTTGATCTTATCAGAACATGTGACCGTCCTGGGAAATCTCATCTTGGGACTCCCATCTTCCCATTCTCTCCCCTGTCCAAATTCTAAAGCCATAGACCGACCTTAGCAGTGCCTCAAAAGAAGGCGCACAGGCCACGCGTAGTGAAAACTTTAGCACGCCTCCCGGACAGCCTGCTTGCAACTTTCCTACAGACATAACGGCGCCACGGCTTAGATTCTCTTTGAGGAGCTCACTTTTTGCAAATTGTGTTGTCTTTCTGATGGAGGTTGTGTGCCCTATAGAACGGCCTGCCTTCTTCCTCTTCGCTTCGTTCCATCAGTAAACAGATGTGTGTGAGTGGGGGGGGGAGAGACATGAGAAGGTTTTGCCAACACCTGCAAGGAGTGTGTGTTTGTGTCACAAACCCAGGGAAAGAACCCCACCCTTCAGGGCCAGAAGGCATTTGTGTTTAAAAACCTCTGTCTTCTTTCTTTTGGTTTGTGTGCTCTCTGCACCCCGTCTTTTTTCCCCCCAAAGGACAGGGCCACAAATGTGAGTAAACCAATCTCTTTTACAGATTGCACAGACAGAAGTTCAACAGGGACAGCAGCAGTTCAGCCAGTTTACAGATGGACAGGTATGAGCCCCCAGTGAACCTTGGTGGCCGTTGCATGCCGACGCTTGCTTGCATTCAACAACCTTTTGAAGGTTACGGAACGTAACTCTTTCCTGCATGGGTGTGTCTTTGTTAAAACGGTTCCGTTGTCATTGCACTTTTTTTTTTAATAATTTGTATTAAAAATAAGTTCTGTACCAAAACAGGGTCCTTTTAAGGAGAAAGGTGGGGTGAAAAATATTGTAAATATATTTTAAATAAATTCTTCCAACCACTATGCATACAAAGAGCATCAGGTGGTATTAACCCTTTGAGTTTACACATTTTTTCGTAAATCAGCACGTGAGGTTCAGGGCTGCCGAAGGAATCAGTACGATTATTACAGCACTCAAGGAAAGGGAGCCACGTTTTGCCAAACGGACCTGTGCTTGGATTCTGATGCATTAAGTGTGAGTGGGCAGTGAGTTTTTCCAGCCATGCTCATTTCTGCCCTATACTGTATCTCCCCAAGCACTTAACTGGGATGCCTGAAGCCCCTTTCCAAGCCAGAGTGATTGTTTGTCTGGATGCTACGCCTTGGGGGGCAGGGGGGATGGGGATGAATTCCTTGTGGTGTAATTGAAGCACAGGAATCTAAAAATAAATTCATTAGTCCTCGTGCTGGGGTCATAACACTCCTTTGTGAGGCTCCCTTTCCAATTATATCAAATACCTCTGCCCTGCAATTACATATTCTAGGGCAGTGCCGCCAGGAATATAAATGTGGACCAATGACTTTGCAGCCTCTCTGGCAATTTGGATCCAGCTTTGTGTGTCTGTATTTCAATATCCGTGGAGTACAATGCCATCCGGGTGCCACTTTGAGGCAGTGCGCTCTCATGGACGCCGAAATTGATATTAAAACTTTTTCACTCCTTCTCTAGTCTCCATCTCTTTAACAGCAAATCCATAGTCTCTTTTTTTGAACCTAGTCCTCTGGGAAAACGATAAGTTTGGAGAGCGCCTGCTAGCTTCTTTGGCCCCCTTTCAGAGGAAGGGCTATCATTGGTGACGGAGCAGGTAGAGGTAGGAGGGGGCTGCCGTCTGCAACCTTGGGCAAGCCCTTCCAGCCGGGGTTGGCAAGAGTAAGTGAGATGTCAAGGGGCTTCCTACGTTCCCATGTTCCGTGGCTTGTGTGATGTTTCTCTTTGCGGCTTCATCCCATTTCGTTTAAACTAGGATAGTGTCCTTTCCACGCTCTTGAGTATTTCCACATGGGTGGGGAGGTTCTGCTGGTGGATCATCCCAAGCGAAGCCAGAACAGATTATAGGGGGGAGGCGTAGGTGGCCTCAGCAGCGTCTCCTGGTTCTTTCGTTGAACGAGTCCTGCTTTTGCCTGCATGATTATTTTTCACAATGCTGTGCGTTCTGATAAGTGGGTCTGATCCGCCGGTGTGTCCTTGCCTGTTCTCTCCCAGCAACTCTATCAGATCCAGCAAGTCACCATGCCTGCCGGCCAGGACATCACGCAGCCCATGTTCATTCAGTCCGCCAGCCAGAATACAGACGGACAGGCACCGCAGGTGACAGGAGACTGACCTGGCGCCGCTGAGAGGCTTCTTGACCTGACAGAAGGCACCCCAGCTGGGATCGATGTGCTGCCCACCGGATCCAGAGGTCCTCCTCCTTCTTGCCTTCCACCTTTCCCTTCCCCAGTATATACCTTCGTTTGCTGTTAAGGCCCCCACCGGCTGTGATCTGCGTTGTGTTTTATGAACCGTTTGATCTGATGGAAGGAAATACTCAACAAACTGGCACCGATGCAATATATTTTTTTTGTGAAGCTGCAAATCCTGTATTAACTGAACAATTTCTGCCTACGTTGACAATTTTTTATAGGACTCTCGTCCAGCCTTTTGGCTGTTCATCCTTTCTTCAGTGGTCCAGCATCTTTCGTTTCACCCCTCCTGCTTCCCTGTTCATTGGACTTCAGCCTCCAGGATTTTCATCCTGTTATCATCCCTGCTCTAGTATTAGATGGACCTATAGCTGTGTTATAATTGTCAGAAAGTGTGTGTGTGTGTGTGTGTGTGTGTGAGAGAGAGATTCTTAAAAATTTCCCATATTTCATGACTGCTGTTCCGCAGCTTCCAAGGATATAATAATTGAAGGGGAAAAACACCAGCTGCTCCTGTCTTAAACTCAACTTCTAAAGGCTTTAAACTTGGCCTTAAAACTATTTTGCAAATGCTTTAAAGAACTCCGATGCTCAAACATGACTTATTGGTTAATGGTATGACATTTGTAAAAACCTGTATGAAATTTGGTCAATGCATGTGTTTAAAAGCTGCATGAAATGCAATAAACTTTTTCCTTTTTTTTTCCTATGGCAGTTCAAACTCTTTGTCTTCGAACTCGTCACTGGAACCTGAGCCAAAATGGTTCCTACTTGGTTGGAGATGTTGACCCATGACATTTTGGGCTCCAGAGTTAAGAGCAATAAACGGCCTCTCTCTCTCTCTTTTTTTCACTCTCCGAATAAAATGGACAATTTTTATTTTATTTTATTTTGTGGCCACAGACCCTGACTCAGGTTATTATCCCTGATGGTGAGATCCACCCACTCCCTTTGTGTCCATCTGCAATGTCTCTAATTTTTGGGGTTAGAGTATCAGCCTTCTTTTGTGTCCTGAGTGTTGCTGATGCGAATGCATCCCAGTATTTCCATGTCCAGTTTGCCCCCAGTCCGGGCTTTGCTGAAGAATGCCTTGTCCCTCTAGGTGACCCTAGGGCGGCCCGAATCCTGTTGCATCTTAGCCTGGATCCTCTGCATAACTCTGCATCTGCTCCTACTGAGAGCAGCTTCCCAGTGGAGGCCAAGGAAAGAGTGTCAGGCGCCCAAAAATGTATTAAATTCTCCAGGCTCTTGTCTCAGATGGAATACGAACGGAAGGGCTAAAGAGGGGACCAATACAGAGGACAACATATTACTGTGGAGCACCAAATCCAGGGGGTACTGGCAGTCTCTTGTGGGGTCTTTCTCTCTCTGTGTTATTCACTTTCCTAAAATAAACCTGCAAGTTAAAGCAAACAGTCTTTGGCAGGTGGACGGACCGGAACTCGATCCATTCCTTATTTAATCAGTTGATTTCCTGTGACACAGTTGTTTTGACTTCTTGACAGTCAAATTCCTACCCACCCTTCACAGTCATCAGTTCTTCGGTCGAAGGAGCCAGAAAGCAAGAACACCTTCTGATTGTGGGCCCTGTCATTGTGAGTGTCTCTAAGTAGTCCAGAGGGAAGCAGTTCCAGAGAAGAACATTTGTGCTGAAGTGGTCAGTGGCTGCATCTGGAGGATCTTGAAAGCTAGGCAAATGATTCCGTCTGTTACGGGCTTTAAACTCAGCAGTTTCCAAATGTGTGAAAACTGCCAGGGCAAAAAGAAAACTGTCTCCTCTTCCTAATTTTCACTGCTCTTATCAGTGGTTAAATTGCAGTCCTGCAGGCAAGCCTCTGCTCACCACTGAGTTCAGTCCCGTCAGGCTCTGGTTGACTCAGCCGTCTCTCTATCCAAGGTGGTTAAACTGAGTACAGTGGTGCCTCGCTTAACGATTGCCTCGTTAAAACAACGAAACCGCTTGACTATGAAGTTTTGGCGATCGCAAAACGATGTTCCTATGGGGAAAATTCGCTTAACGATGATCGGTTCCCTGCTTTGGGAACCGATTTTTTTGCTAAACAATTATTTAGAAACAGCTGATCGGCGGTTCTAAAATGGCTGCCTGCTGTGCAAAATGGCTCCGTGCTGTGTTTTCAGGACGGATTCCCCGCTTTACAGGCAGCTAAAATGGCTGCCCCTATGGAGGATCTTCACTGGACGGTGAGTTTTCAGCCCATTGGAACGCATTGAACCGGTTTCAGTGCATTTCAATGGGCTTTTTCGTTTCACAAGACGATGTTTTCGTAAGACAGCAATCTTGTGAGGCACCACTGTACCCGGTTCTCTGGAGGGGGGGGGAGGGTCAATGTGTACCCTACATAATTACTGTATGTTCTAAACCACCCAGAGAGTGTTTTTAGCCCTGTGAGGCGCTAGAGAAGCAGCACAATTTACTTTTTATTTTTTGTTTTTTTTGCTGGACTGGTAAATAAAATATGTGTAAGGGTCCCCTCCCCGCCAAGGCTTCTGATAAGATGGATGGTTCAGGTTCAGGACGGGGGTCTGCCACTTAAAGAAAACGAATTAAGCTTTCTCACTATGGGGTGAGAACCCCATAGTCTACGGGGAGCCCAGCACATACCTTTGCATATGGACGAGACAATTGCTGTGTCCCCTGGGTGTGTGTGTGTGAACAAGATGACCTGGACATGGACGAGTCAACTGCTGTGTCTCCTGGGGGTGTGTGTGTGTGTGAACAAGATGACCTGGACAGGAACGCTGCATTCAGCCTCCTTTCTAGGGCGGCATGAATTGATCGCTGGTGGCTGATAGGAGGGAGGCAAGATCAGAGCCATCGGTCCTGGAGAGAGCAGTGGGCAAACCTTGGCGAGAGTGGAATCCAAAAAGCCACTCCTTATCAACTGCTGTGTCTCCTGGGGGTGTGTGTGTGTGTGAACAAGATGACCTGGACAGGAACGCTGCATTCAGCCTCCTTTCTAGGGCGGCATGAATTGATCGCTGGTGGCTGATAGGAGGGAGGCAAGATCAGAGCCATCGGTCCTGGAGAGAGCAGTGGGCAAACCTTGGCGAGAGTGGAATCCAAAAAGCCACTCCTTATTTAATTGGGCGATTTCCTGCTACACAAGGGCAGGTTTGCCAGGGCATAATAGCATGTCTTGTGTCACACAAATTGGTAATAATGCTGCTCTATCCTCTGGATATATATGTACTAGTTATGCCTGGGAAGCCTGGAAGTCTGCGAAATGGATGTTCTTTATTTAAATACTTTTGCATCCATAGATGTGCATTGTCTAGAAGAGACATTGCCAGCTGTGATTTTCTAAGTGCATGCGATGCCAGCTATTTTCTTAAGTAATTATGTGTTGTTGTTTTTTAAATTCCAAGGGACTTGTAAGTGACTTTTGCATCCATAGATGGGCATTGTCTAGAAGAGACATTGCCAGCTGTGATTTTCTATGTGCATGCTGTGCCAGCTATTTTCTTAAGTAATTATGTGTTGTTTTTTAAATTCCAAGGGACTTGTAAGTGACACCCGCTTTCATGCTTTCCAACTCTCTCTGAAATTTGCTGGATTTTGTTTAATTGGTTACAATTCCTCTCCTTTTTTTTGCGATTCTCCTATTCTAATGGCAGCATTTTGAAACAATTTTGAGTTGCGTCTAAAACAGTCCCTGACAGTCTTTGACACATATAATCTTCTTCTCTTTGTATTTCTTTTTCCATTTATTTTATCAAGAATGGTCAATGTGTACTTCCTGCTAATGGATCAAAGTATTCCAGCAGTATGTGTTCGATGAGGTTTGAGTTGGTTTCTGTTTCTCTTAGTTTGTTCTTCATTGACCACCCATTTGATCCAAGAAATATCCAGCATCCTGTAATAAACCCACACGTCATAATCTTTTTTCTTTTAATAAAAGTAATCGTGGGATAATTACAGGATGAACTAGTAGAAGTCCATGCTGTACTCTGGAACTAAGAATATGTATCAGCAGATGATGTGCATTCCCCAAACCAGATTTAAGTTTTGGCTGCAGAATAAATCCATCATCTTAAGGATGCCCTTCTAGGCCATCTCTATTCTGATTTTCATTGTGGGCCATTTTCCCACTGCTTATTCAACTAAGGTATCTGGCTGAATAACTCAGTGAGATATCTGTCTGTGGAGCCAGAGGTTGGGGTTTTCCCACTGCTTATTCAACCAAGGTATCTGGCTGGATAGCTCAATGAGTTAGGCACCTGGCTATGGAGCCAGAGGTTGGGAGTTTGATTCCCCCACTGGGTCTCCCAGGAGAAGAGCCAGCCTGGGTGGCCTTGGGCCAGCTGCACAGAAGTCCCAGAGATCCCCCCCCCCAAAAAAGAAGGGAATGGGAAATCACTTTTGAGTATTCTCCACCTAGAAATCCCTGGAAAGAATAGACTTGACGGTACATAATTATTTTATTTAACCAAGGAAGGATTCATCTTTCTCAACACACAGCACATCGTTCTTCTGGATCTTCCGTTCCTTGGTCAGCTTCCTTTTTAGTGATGATCACGATCTTAGTTTTTTGAACATTCTCTTTTAGATGCTTTTCATTACTTGTTCCACTGATATTTAAAATACAGCAAAGATTATGTCTCTTGAAGCCACTAGAGGGTGCAAGATTCAAGATCCTCATTTCTCTTTCTGTTGTGCTTCACGGGACGTAGAACGTTGAGTGGTCTTAAACTCTGGGGTGTCAATGTATAGGTGGTTTAGGCAGGTTTAGCGTTTATGAGATTATGTGACTAAATTTCATCACACAGAGAAGCATTCGTGGTGGGATATTTTCATAATGTATCTATTCATACTTGGTGGAAATTAGTGCCTTACCAGAGGGACTTGGAAATTTATTTACTTACTTCTTGTTTTTGTTGTTTAGTCGTGTCCGACTCTTTGTGACCCCATGGACCAGAGCATGCCAGTCCCTCCTGTCTTCCACTGCCTCCCAGAGTTGGGTCAAAGTCGTGTTGGTCGCTTCGATGACACTGTCCAACCATCTCATCCTCTGTTGTCCCCTTCTCCTCTTGCCTTCGCACTTTCTCAACATCAGGGTCTTTTCCAGGGAGTCTTCTCTTCTCATGAGATGGCCAAAGTATTGGAGCCTCAGCTTCAGGATCTGTCCTTCCAGTGAGCACTCAGGGTTGATTTCCTTCAGAACGGATAGGTTTGTTCTCCTTGCAGTCCAGGAGACTCTCAAGAATCTCATTCAGCATCACATTTCAAAAGCGTCAATTATTTGGCGGTCAGCCTTCTTTATGGACCAACTCTCACTTCTGAATATCACTACAGGAAAAACCATAGCTTTGACTATATGGACTTTTGTTGGCAAGGTGATGTCTCTGGTTTTTAAGATGCTGTCGAGGTTTCTCATCACTTTCCTGCCAAGCAGCAGGTGTCTTTTAATTTCGGGGCTGCTGTCACCATCTGCAGTGATCATGGAGCCCAAGAAAGTAAAATCTGTCACTGCCGCCATATCTTCCCCTTCTATTTGCCAGGAGGTGATGGGACCAGTGGCCATGATCTTAGTTTTTTTTTTTTTTTTACGTTGAGTTTCAGACCTTTCTTTTTTTTTTTTTTTTCGTTTTCTCTTTCACCCTCATTAAGAGGTTCTTTAATTCCTTTTTACTTTCTGCCATCGGAGTGGTATCATCTGCATATCGGAGGTTGTTGACATTTCTTCTGGCA